GAGCAATTAGCTAAAGCTAGAACTAGTATCCCTATAAGCTAAACTAAACAGGTGCGTCTAGACTCGAATATTGAGAGTGAGCCTGAAACCCGCACATCCGGTAGAAGACCATTCCACAGCTGAGGAGCTCTATAGGAGAAAGCTCTGCAGCCTGCCAGAAAGCATTAAGGTAAGGGATGATTAATTACAATATAATGCTATATATCCACATACAAACTAGGCAAGATGTTCCACTCACACATTGGGAGAGAACCCAGCCGTATTATTCCCAGCGTCAGGCGTCCTGTCGCAGCTTGCTATACTTGCTCCGCCCAGGGGCTAAATGCACTGATGCAAAATGTCCCGACCACTAATCTGCGAATGAACCGGAAGTCCAACAATTTGAAATGACCACCGAAAAGAGCGTAGAGACCCTGTAACCCTTTTAGTCTGAGCACCCGCTCCTATTGGCGACTCGCTGTCAGGAAATTAATGGTGCACACATCTCATATTTTCCCTATAGGCTAGACTGAATAAGTGTGTTTTTAGTCTATACTCAATATAGAGAGTGAGCCTGAATCCCACGCATCAGGTGGAAAACCATTCCACAGCTGAGGAGATCTATAGGAGAAAGCTCTGCAGCCTGCTGTAGCTCTTTCTACCCAGGGTACTAACAGATATCCTGCGCCTTGAGAACATAGCAAACCCCTAGGCCAGCATCTCACCAAGGTATTCTGGTGCAAGGCCATTCAGTGCTTTATAAGTCAATAGCAGTATTTTATAGTCAATCCAAGACTTAACTGAAAGCCAGTGAAGGGAGGATAAGACCGGTGTAAAGTGATCAATTTTTTTTAGTGTTTGTGAGAACTCTGGCTGCTGCATTCTGTACCAGCTGAAGTTTATGTAAGGATCTAGATGGGCATCCAGAAAGGAGGGCATTACAGTAGTCCAGTCTGGGAGTTATAAAGGCACGTATTCATTTTTCTGCATCATGAAGGGAGACCATCTTCCGTAGCTTAGCTATGTTCCGTAGATGACAGAACGCAGTTCTAGTAATGCTTCTTATGTGAGCATTGAATCATAATTCTGAATCAATTAGAAGACCAAGATTTCTGACCACTGTGTTAGGTTGTGCAGGAAGGTCACCAGTGTTGAGGTGGTGAAACTTATTTCATGCATTCTTGGAACCAATTACCAGAACTTCTGTTTTTTCTGTTTAACACAGCCTGCTGTTTGTACAAGATATTCAACATTATTCATGTGGGGGTGATCATAATGTTTTGGCTCACCTGCTCCTTATTTCTAGTCATATGTAACTCTACCACCACAACCTGCTGCCCCTAGAGTCCCTTGTTTTGTGTTTCTGTTTTCCCTCTGTTGATGCTAAAAATGCATCCCTCCTCCACTCAACGGAATGCAATTTGCACAATCTCTGCCAAAATGCACCAGTTAATGGAAATATGTACAATTTTGACCTACACAAACATTATGCTCAGCTATACATATCATTACTCTCAATTGGCCATAACATTAACATAAGAACCAGGTAAGGGGTAAATTACTGACATGCAAAATACAATTCATACCCTCAAGCTTTTCTTACACCACCTGACTGGATGGTACTCAAAGACTGTGCAGATATTTCTGCTATTATGCCTCACCCAAGCCAGAGGCAGCTTAGAATCTATTTTGCAGACTTGTTCAGCAAGGACTGACTTTTGCTCTATTTATGTTTAAGCCAAATTCATGTAGGCAAGACCGCATCTCTCTCAGCCAACACCAATACAAGACAATATAATACTGTCATTAGAGATAGTTTAAAAGTCTACAAAAATCTTTTGTTTCTTAAGAACTTAAGAGAAACAAGTAGCTGAACAGTTTATGACAGTTTAAGCACCATTAGGCTTCAAATAGCCACAGATGCCTAGATTGCAAGTGTATCAGGATAACAGTGACTTATCATGGAAATTCTTTTATGACCATGTCTTGTGAAGATTATGAATGGAAACAACAAATGTAAGTCCTTAAGCTATAAAACAGCACAGAAGATTCTGAATCAAAGCATGACAGGAAGTAATCCAGTCATGATTTCTGTATACAAGGTGAATGACACGACGTGCATATTTTTTGTCAAATTCCAACAAAAACATTGCAAGTTCAATATTATTATTATACGAAACTTCTTTAAAGTCAATATATTTTCAATACAGGAATAAATGTCTGATGGATTAATGAGTTGAAGTTTTTCATTTAGAAAAAAATAGTAAAATGTAATATTTTTGGTTGCACCACCTGACATTTCTCATTTTATGAAACCTAATTTGTCATTCACCCTATAATTGCTCGACATTTGAAAAGCAGTAACATTAGGTTGAACTAGCAATATTTCATTCCATTTTACACAGTCACTGCAATGCATATATTTATCTCGTGTCAGTCTTAGGGCACTTTTCCACCGCACCAGGTATCTTACTTTTATTACTTTGAGTACCAAAAATACGGCACTTTAAGCTGTTGGTTTTCGTCTGCCATAAAAACTGGTACCAGCGCTGAATGACACCACAACACAAAGCGAGGTATTTTGTACCGAATTCGAAAAATGGCTGTGGTATATTATAGGGCTGGATTTATGGGACCTACTGAAATAAAGGTAGCTGATTATGAGAAAGACCTTGGTGTGTATGTTGACGCTTCCATGTCTCATTCTCACCAGGCGGGGAAGCAATAAAAAAGGCCAACAGGATGCTGGGGTATATCTCCAGGTGTGTGGAGTTTAAGTCAAGGGAGGTAATGCTAAGAATATACAATTCCTTGGTGAGACCTCACCTAGAATATTGTGTGCAGGTTTGGTCACCATATCTTAAAAAGGACATTGCGGCCTTAGAAAAGGTGCAGCGTAGGGCCACAAGAATGATTCCTGGTCTTAGAGGAATGTCATACGAGGAAAGGTTATTTGAGCTAAACCTGTTCAGCCTCAAGCAAAGGAGACTGAGGGGGGACATGATCCAGGTCTATAAGATTCTAACAGGTGAGCATTAGTTCAAATACAAGAACTCGTGGCCATAGGTGGAAATTAGCGGGAGAACATTTCAAACTGGATTTAAGGAAGCACTTCTTTACACAGCGTGTAGTCAGAGTATGGAATAGTCTTCCTGATAATGTAGTGCAAGCTGAATCCTTGGGTTCCTTTAAATCAGAGCTAGATAAGATTTGAACAACTCTGAGCTATTAGTTAAGTTCTCCCCAAGCGAGCTCGATGGGCCGAATGGCCTCCTCTCGTTTGTATAGTTCTTATGTTCTTATGATGAGTGATGTTAATAGCAACATCGCATTTTATGCACATGACAATTCTTACATCACGACTCAGCTGGATTAAGATCAGGCTCTCTCTTACTTTCAATTGTGTATAGACACTATAGCGCGGGGAGTTTAAGTTTCCCTGAAACATTACTACTCTGTCATAAGAAAACCTTAGCTACCTTTGCAATTTTAATTATTCCTTTTATAGATTATTTATTAAATGTTTAAAAATCAGTTTTTACCTCTGCTGCTTTTGCATGTTGCATGCGTTCTCTGAGACAACTGTAATTATGTTCATCCTCTCCTAGATGATATATATATATATATATGCAAAAAAAAGAAAAAGATAAAATTAAAAGCTGAATTTTAGAAAAGAAAAAGAACCGAAAACAAGAGCTGCCAGGGTGAGACACACCAGCACCCAGCCACTTGCCGACATGGTAGCATGTGTGACAAGGTCAGACTCATGTGGCCAGTGGGTCTCAGGCTTGGACCTGGGCAGGTACCTCAGCTCATAAGATAAACCGATAAGAACTGCAGCAGACTTACTGAAGACCCAGTTTGTTTGATTCACATAACAATCACTTCGGTATGGTGTTGGTGTGCTGTGTCTGACAGAAATCCTGTACACTGTGCCACACAGTAGCAGACCCCGTAGCAGAAGGGCTGCTGTTCCATTTGAAGATGACTATAGATTCAGAAATGAGGCTGAGAAATACTGCAAATGGGTCCATCTCCTACACCCTCCTTCTCAAGAGGAAGAAGCAGGATATTTACTAGGTGCCTTTGCAGAAATAGTCAACAAACAAGAACGTGGTTTAACTAACAAAAACACCCGCGAAACAGGCAGCATCACCCTATCTCTCTCCCTCACACACAGAATGAACTTCCTACAAACCACCGCCAACTGATAACACATACGCAGGGGGCACTGCCTCCTGACCTCTCCTCAGCCCGCCCAGCCCCAGCAATATTTATATCCTGCAGAAAATGTCTGACATTTCACACATGCACATTTAAAAACATACCACCTACCTCTAAATTACTGATGGCTTTAATCCTAGCCTGCAGGATGATAAAGGCCAATGTACAGTGAGGTTGTGGAGCTAAAGAATCCTGCTGGCCAAGTTGGTATAAATAAGCTACTGTAAACAATGACAACTACAAATATTCACTGCATTTTCAGTGTACACTGAATGTAACAATACAGTGCATTGCCACACAATTATAAGGAGGATCTTATGTTACCCAGGGATGAGGAACAAACCTACAACCTTACAAGTGTGAATCCACTTAAATGAAGAACGAGTACAAAAAAAACTGAACATTATCCCAATGGCTAGTTTAAACAAACAAAAAAAACTGTCACCTTTGACTACATTCTTTATGTAGCTAGCCCAGTTGACCGGTAGCATCAATTCTTAAGTTCTACAGCAACATGCATATATTGCATGGGCAATACTGATAAATGCAATACTGCTACTGCTTCCATACAGTAAAAATTAATCGGTTACACTATGAAAATCAGTTCTGACTCACAACATATATATCAACTTTAAGTAAATCAGAAATGTTCCAGCCTATACACACAGCCCTAAACTAAGGCGTCATCTGCAATTAAACCACGAAAATTAACGAAAACATTTGTTTTAAAATGTATACTTCTCTTGTTTGTCATGTGAAGATTTAGGGAGGTGATAATGAAACGCTGGTCTGATCACCTGGTTTCCAAAGACTCCGATTGAACAGGCTGTGGACACCTCCTTCGAGCCGAACCAAACTGAGGCGATCCGGGACGGCATTCCGAGGATGAAGACCTGGGCCAGGGAGCAGGAGAACTGTCCAAGGACACTCACCCAGAACAGGTCCGGTCTTACGCTGGCCACTTTAATCCAGGTCCCCATACAGTTTGCGGCGGTACCTGCGAGCGCGATGACCCTCAAACCCTTTTTGTCCAAAAGCCACGTTACGGGAAATATAAAAGGGATGTAAGTCATCATGTACACCATTGACATCCAATCGACAGTGAAAGAGTCAACTTTGTAGAATTTCATGAAGATATTGCTGATGATTCCGTACTGGATCCACTGGAAGGCATTACAGAGCGAATAAGTGCTGAAAAGGAATACTATAACCCATCGGCGTTTGTACAAACGAGTGGCTGGTTTATCAGCGCCGTTTCCATCCGAGCGGTCATAAAATCCATGTCCGTCAGATGTTTTTGGTTTTTGTAAGACCGAAGTATTAGTTTCCTCTTTTACTTCAAAATCAGCACCTTTCGTTTCCTCCTGCATTTTAATTCTATTGGTTTTGAACAGAAAGCAAGTAACCTACGGAGTTATCATGAATATTGTTATACGATTAATGTCCGAAACATGAAAGTAAAAATAAAGAATATTTCGTATTAAGCCTTGGTTATAAGGTTAAAGTCAAGACTTATTTTCTTCGTGGCGAACGGTTACTTTGGCACACACTCTGGCGAAACAGCCACAGTAAAGTTTACCTCCCGAAAATGGTCAACACGTGTTAATTTAGAAAGCACTGCATTTCCCAAAGAGTCCCAAACACACTACCTACAAAGAACTGTTTTCTGGTATACAGTAACACACATATATATAATTTTAAAATGTAAGAAACTAGATCAATGATTTACAACAAGTCAAACTTCCTCAGGAAGTCAAGAAACTAATTGGTTGAATCAGCACCAATTTAGTATGCGATCACATATCACCCCTGGACGCAGCATTGCTTTCAAAGTTAAAGACATTTCAAAATGAAAGGTTACAACGACTGCATTTTAACGAAAGAAAGAAAAAAACACTCCCTCCTACGTCCGCTTCAAATCCAGCTTTGGTGCCCGAAGCAGTGACGGGGCTCCAGTATCCACGTGGTTTCCGAACTCTGACTCCATCCACCAATCACCGTCAGACAGCACCGAGGACGGTCCAATCAGAACAGTCGAGTGTGCACGGGCAGTCTTCGGTCTGACATAGAACGTAATACACTGACTGGTAATTCAGCCCTCGAAGGTTGGGTTTTTAATGGTGAAATGGCCTGTTATTTAATCACTCTGGATAATATTCAAGTCGATTATCATAATCAAATTGATCATCGTTTGACACGAAATAGCTAACAGACTATAACTTGTAAACTTCCTGATAATGAAACAGCCACAATTTCCATGATGAAATACCTACATAATTATCGTCTAGCATGATTTGTAGTCAGTAGTGCTTTTTAATTTTTTCCTCACATTGCCTACAATAAAATAATAATAAAAATATATATTATATTCATGCATAGTGAACATCATCTATCCATCTTCCATCAATTTGCCTCGGTCAATTGCCAGGGGGAGCTGGAGCCTATGCCAGGGATGCCCAGGAGCAGATTGTACACCATCATAGGGCACATACACACACAGTCATAATATAACTGCATGTCATTAGACTGTGGGATGAAACTAGAGTATTCTGAGGACACCTACCCAACACAGGGAGAACATGCAAGCTCTGTGCACACACTTGCACATTTACTCACACACACATGCACACACACACACACAGACTCATACACACACTCAGCAGATGCAAAATTTAAATCCCCAACCTTGGAAGTATGAACCAACAATGTCACACATATAGAAAATACATTTCTAAATTTTGCATTTTTGTTTGTCATTTTCACACATTTTACATTTCACAAATTCAAAATACATCACTTGGGGACAGAAAATAAATACATTGCACATTTGAATAAAATAAAATGGTACATATAAAATGATGTAACAAACTTATAAGTAAGTGAATTTTGAATTAGAATCTAACAAATGGTGAAATGCACAAAATATAATTTTACTTATTTCACTGAAATTTTTAAGATGTGCTCCCTGTTAAACTTAAGGCCATTTTACTTAACTGATTATAAAGCAGGTTCTATAATGGTTCTTAAATACAGTTGTTGACACAGTATATCTTTAATGTCTGTTATCAATTCAAATTGAAGCACCTTTCAGACTTTTAAATAAGAGCTTGAAATTTTCAATTCTGATTATGGATTATTAAGAATATTTAATGTACAAGTTGATTGATTGACTGTTGACAAATATATTACTGTTCAAGTCATCAAAAATACAAACTTGAGGAACTGCTGTTGAAAAATATAACTGCCATCTATAGTATAGTCAGCATAAATGAAACACCTGTTTGTTCATGGTTCACTTAACACATTTTTATTCTGTAAATACTTCAAAATAAAGAATACATCAAAATGCAAAAAAACAAAAAAAAGCAGTCTCAAAGCAGCGTTCAAAGAAATTGAAAACTGTCTAAATCTTGGATTGCTCAAAATAGCCATAATTTGCCTTAAAACCTGCTTCACTGACGTAATGAATTTATTTGATGCATTGAAATATTGAAGGACTTAATTATAATAATCCTATAAAAATCCCATGATTATCCTTATGGATTGGCATGCCTTTGATTTTTTTTAGTTGAGCGACTTTTGCATGGCTGTGCTTCCTCAATGTCCAACAGAGGACAGCACAGAAGCATAAGTCACCCTCTCTGCATCTTACAAACACATTCATTAGACCATAACACCAACATACATTCCTGTTAAGAGATAAGTATATGTTTATACCGTTAGTAATAATGGATCCCTGCAGATGTACTCAAACTTTTGGTTGATTCTGTATATGAGAAATTTATTTACTCAAGTTACTGTTTCAAGAGAAAGCTAAACACACTTGCCATCTAGCGGTTGAATTATGTAGCTTCTTCACCATCATCTGTGTACTCATGGTTCCAGCAGAAACTTTGATTAGTCACATTATATGGTTTCAGTGACTGAAACAGTTACCAAAGCAATTCTATTTGCTTTAAGCTTGAATTCTTGTGAAATGTTTGAACCAAAAATATCACCCTTAAATTTTTAATATGTAGACAGCAGGACAAGTCAATAGGGGAGACCAGAGACTATTGCTAAATGTGGTCAGTTGTTGAACAGGCTTTTAACATACTTCAACCTGGCTATACATCCCCCCACTTCTGCTAGTTTAAGGCTCCTAGCAACAGTCTGTCAGTTATGAAACATGTTGCACTGATCGTATGCAGATTAATGAGTAAATAGATAACAGCTTTGATTCATAAACTGTCCCGAGTCTCCCCCACTGTAGCCACAGACCAGTGCTGGGGCTTTGCTGTGTATGTGAAGCTTACATGATCCCTCATGTCATACGGGTTTCTACTGGGTACTCTGATTCCCCAAACCTGGGCATGTGCAGAGGCAATGTCAATTCAATTCAATTCGATTTTATTCAATCCAGTCCAATCCAATTCATTTCAATTCAATTCCATTCAGTTCTATTAAATACAATTCATACACGCAACTTCAGAATATTGCATTGTCTCAAGGCACTTTCAATTATCCCTGGCCAAAGCTGACAGAGAGCAAGCCAGAGGCGAAAATGGCAAGGAAAAACTTCCTAGCAGGAAGAGACCTTGGAAGGAACCACACTCAAAGGGGGGGGCGGCTTTTCTCCAGGGGCCCGGCAGAGGAAGTTCAAATATATATACACACTAACATGCATATACACACCATAAAATGTATTTATACACACTAAAATGTTCAGTGTTATCAGCTGCCAAAGCATAAAGACAGCATACCTGTACAGTTATTTATAAGTTGAAGATAGATTTTCACAATACAGTAGTAATTTTATTATCCGTAGACTCCAAGAGAGATATACAGCAGAATGGCAGTCCTTTTCATTCTCTCTCCTTTTTTGAGTCATTACTACCAAGTTTATAGTTGCTGTCAGTATCAACATTTTATGCTTAATTTCAAGATTCAAGACATTTATTTGCCATTTGTACAAACACAGACAGTACAGGTATGTAGGAATTTTTGTGGGGAGCTCTTAGACTCAGCAGTAAATAAGAGAAATAAGTGAAAGCTAGGATAGGTAATAACAGCACAAGATAAGTACTAAGAAGACATTAAATGACATTAATTTCATTTTCATTCTTGAAACCATCATTTACAAATGGCAAAAAATATATATAATGGTCCTAAACAGATAATTCTATGTAACCCAAAAATGTCATTTTACATTAAATTCTGCTTTGGTTAATTTAATCTCGGTCTTGTGGTGGGTCATCTGTACCAGCAGATTGTAAATGTTACTCTCCAGGAGACAGTGTGGTAAAAATGTCTCCCCTTGGTGGTCAGAGATGGTAGCGCAGTGAGGTGACATAGGCCTGCTGGAAGGCCCTGAAGGGGGGAAGAAGCACTGGTTGGTGGAGGAGTGCAAATCCACAGCGCAGCACAAAGGCTCATGATGGCTCAGCACAGCACTCAGGTATTTGGCCTCTTCTGTCAACTGCTTCACCTCCCGTCTCAGTGCAGCATTTTCCCTCTCCAACTTCTCGCTTTCCTAAAACAACACACCTGCAATGATCAGCCATGTTTGTGTTACACCGCAACACACCTGCAATGATCAGCCACGTTTGTGTTACACCACAATTCACCCCTAATGATCAGCCATGTTTGTATTAAACTGCAACAGACCTGCAATGATCAGCCATGTTTGTGTTACATCTCAATTCGCCTGCAATGATCAGCCATGTTTGTTACACTGCAACACACCTGCAATGATTAGCCATGCTTGTATTACACCACAACACACCTGCAATGATCACCCATGTTTGTGTTACACCACAACACACCTGCATTTATCAGCCATGTTTGTGTTACACCACAATTCACCTGCAATGATCAGCAACGTTTGTGTTACATCTCAATTCACCTGCATTGATCAGCCATGTTTGTGTTACACCACAATTCACCTGCAATGATCAGCCATATGTGTGTTACACCAAAAAACACTTACAATTGTCAGCCATGTTTGTGTTACAATGCAACACCCCTGGAATGATCAGCCACGTTTGTATTACACTGCAACACACCTGCAATGATCAGCCATGTTTGTCTTACACCACAACACACCTTTATCTGGATCAGCTTATGAAGGCTTGTGTCCTGTTTATACCACTAAACTCTTTCCAGTCTACATCATTATGTAAATCAATGGCTCTGTGTTCCAGTGGAAGTTACCTGTCCCTTTTGAGCAGTGTGTGTAAACCCAACCTGATAAAATGTTGCACTTAGATGGGCCAAGTCTGTGGCTTGGCCAGATAGGATGCTGTGCCTGTGATCAAAAGGTCATTGGCTGAAATCCTAGAGTCAACAGAATGATTTCACCATTCCCCCCTTGAATAAGGCCCTTAACCACCAATTGTTCCAGGAACTCTACTTTTTGTAATATATTTGTCACTTTGGATAACATTGTCTGCTAAATAAATAATAATTCAATGACCCAACACTAAAGTTAATATCATATAAGGCCATTCACCATCAGTAACCATTTACTTTGTTACTGGTGTTATCTACAGATCAGTACATGTGCAGTGCAAAGAGAATTTATACAGAAAAATAAAATCAAGAGAACAGTGCTCATGTGCTCAGTTCAGTCCAAGTATTTAATAAGCATTTTTGCCAAGATCCATGACTGTTGGTTCATTGAGGATTGAGAGCCACAATCTGAGATGGGTTTAGATCTGCACCAGTGGCATCACACTAACACTGGCCCTGAGCACCACGCAACCTCTCTGACTGCGGCAGACCCTCAGGACAGCGCAACTTACTGCCCCCACAGTCTCCCAGACAGTGCAGCTTACTGTCCCACAGTCTCCCGGACAGTGTAGCTTACTGTCCCACAGTCTGCCGGACAGTGTAGCTTACTGTCCCACAGTCTCCCGGACAGTGTAGCTTACTGCCCCCACAGTCTCCCGGACAGTGTAGCTTACTGTCCCACAGTCTCCCGGGCAGTGTAGCTTACTGTCCCACAGTCTCCCGGACAGTGTAGCTTACTGTCCCACAGTCTCCCGGACAGTGCAGCTTACTGTCCCACAGTCTCCTGGACAGTGCAGCTTACTGCCCCCACAGTCTCCTGGACAGTGCAGCTTACTGTCCCACAGTCTCCCGGACAGAGTAGCTTACTGCCCCCACAGTCTCCCGGACAGTGTAGCTTACTGTCCCACAGTCTCCCNCCCACAGTCTCCCGGACAGTGTAGCTTACTGTCCCACAGTCTCCCAGACAGTGTAGCTTACTGTCCCACAGTCTCCCGGACAGTGTAGCTTACTGTTCCATAGTCTCCTGGACAGTACAGCTTACTGCCCCCACAGTTTCCTGGACAGTGCAGGTTAAACTAAGTTCACTCTACACAATTTTAGCTCCGATTTTCCTGTGTAATAGTCCAGCTCCATCACAGCAGTGACCCTGACCAAACTCATCAGGAAGGCCAGCTCCATCATAGCAGTGACCCTGGACCCACTGGAGGCAGTAGCAAAATCTGACAATGTTATGAACAATTCTGCCCCTCTGCTTCAGGGGGCGATATCCTGGAGCACATTTAGCCACCGGCTCATTCCACCACAGTGTGATAAGAAGCCCTACTGGGCGTCCTTCCTGCCTGCTGCCATCAGACACCATAGTAACTCCACCCAACATGTCACCCCCCCCACCCCCAGCCATAGCATGTTGGGGATGGACCCATAAAATCTGGTGCTGCTACTGTATTACCATCAATCGTTTTTAAATTATTATTATGATTATCATCTGTAAATATTTATTTCCGTAATAATACCACATTTTGTTTTCAGGATATTCTATTTGTGCACTGTCAGGTCAGGTCAGGTTGGAGAGCATACACTGGTAATAATATAATAATAATATCAGTAAATATCAGTTTTTTTCTATAGTATTACATTATTCTGTTTTTGCAATATTCTTATAATTAATTTTGAATTTTGTGTCCCATCACTGTTCCCAGTGCCAGTTTAAACAATATCAAAACCACTTCACAGCCCATAATGAATCCTGCTGCAAGCCAGATGTGGCAGTGGGCCTTGAGTACACATATGTGTATTACATAAATCGAAGATGAGTAAAAGGTTGTACAATAGTAGGAAAGTATTTTATTCGCAGGAATTTAATTCAGGTTCAAATGCTCAATTAAAAAAAGTTTAGCTAAAATTGCATTAATACCCAGCTATACCAAATGATCTTGGGGGTGACACATCCATTGTATTCTGGAACCACCATAATCGCTTAGCTACACAATGCTGGGAAACATAACATGAGTGATAAATTGAATGAAGCATTCAATGTTAATTCTGTCAAGTTTTTTTTGGAGCAGAGACAATTTACAAGGTCAACAATAACTTCAGGATTCCTCATGTCACCCCAGAAGGAAACCTTTCAGGACCTAGAATAACAGTCATGCTGGAGACTCAAAAAATGTGGCGAATCATCTTATGATCGAGTGGTACAAATCAGAAGCATTTGGCCTAAATGCAAAGCATTATGTTTCTACAAACCCAACCCAAGTCAGCCAGGGAACATTGATCCTGCTGTTATGGAGGCAGTATCATTTTACGGGGATGATTGTGCTTGTCAGGATCCTTGGGCATGTATCCAGGACAACCCTGGCAATTTCTGCGCAATGACTGTAGTTGAGTACCAGCCTGCACTTTAACCCCTTTCACAAAATTTGAGAATATGTGAAGAATGCCAGTCCATCTAAGCCAAGCCTAAGCAGAACAGGTAAACATTGGACAATTGTAAAGCTGGTAGGAACATATTCTAATGGAGTCACTGTAATCACTGCTAAAAGTTACAGAAACCAGCTAGTGTGATAATAATAGCCTCTATTCAAATAGTTTTTGTACAATAAATAAGACCCCTAGTCTTTGAACAGGCCCCAAATCTTTGAACAAGGCTCCGAATCTTTGAACAGGCCCCAAATCTTTGAACAAGGCTCCGAATCTTTGAACAGGCCCCAAATCTTTGAACAAGGCTCCAAATCTTTGAACAAGGCCTCAAATCTTTGAACAAGGCTCTGAATCTTTGAACAAGGCTCTGAATCTTTGAACAAGGCCTCGAATCTTTCAAGAGGCCCCGAATCTTTGAACAAGGCTCCAAATCTTTGAACAAGCCCTCGAATCTTTGAACAAGGCTCCAAATTTTTGAACAAGGCCCCGAATCTTTGAACAAGGCTCCGAATCTTTGAACAAGGCCCCGAATCTTTGAACAAGGCCTCGAATCTTTGAACAAGGCTCCGAATCTTTGAACAGGCTCCGAATCTTTGAACGAGGCTCCGAATCTTTGAACAAGGCTCCGAATCTTTGAAGAGGCCCCGAATCTTTGAACAAGGCTCAGAATCTTTGAACAAGGCTCAGAATCTTTGAACAGGCCCCGAATCTTTGAACAAGGCTCCGAATCTTTGAACAAGGCCTCGAATCTTTGAACAAGGCTCCGAATCTTTGAAGAGGCCCCGAATCTTTGAACAAGGCTCAGAATCTTTGAACAAGGCTCCGAATCTTTGAACAGGGCCCGAATATTTGAACAAGGCCCTGAATCCTTAAAATGGCTCCAGGGATGCTGGAGAAATGGCTGACCCTGTGCTGTTACCCATGTCATTATGTCTACCTGGAGAGTAAGATATGCGAAAACGAATGAATATGCATCTGTCTTGTTCAAATGGCTAAATAAAGCATCATCACATAAGAAGATCGTTATGCAGTCTGGAGTGTAGCTAGAAATTCTGGGCCACATGACAAAATGTCACCTTGGGTCCTTCCAATTGGGCTGCCACTTACTGAAGAAATACGGAACACCACCCCATCGAGATAAAATTTGCTGGCTGGGGGGTTCCCGTTAATTGTGTAATCTTCCCCAAGCATATAACTTATAATTTGGCATGGGCTCCAACAGTGCTGCCCCCCCTCCAGGGTATCCATGCCCCTCCAAGGTCCCTGAGTGCAGAGGCACAAACTAAACTGTTAAAGATGTTTCTATTGGAACAAAAGTAATAAATAACACTTAGAGGACCCTCCCTCTTTAAATAACAGATCTGGTTATGCAGATAAACGGAAATAGGAAACCCTGCTGCTTTATGTTAGAGCTGTTCTAACAGACTGTGTAGGTTGTTTTCCAATCGTTCAGCAAGATTAAATCTTAAAGTAACGTGAGAACATGAGGAGTGGAATCTTCAGTGAAAGACATCTGCTGACATTTGGGCAATCTTCCATGGGGGAAGTCCCTGATGGAAGATGTGCTGTTGTTGATTATGGATTGATGAACTTTTCGTCAAATAGGTGATTACAGTACACTAAAAGCTGATATTATTATTATTATTAGTAGTAGTAGTAGTAGTAGTAGTAGTCGGGTGTACTTAGTAATAGTAGGGCTTTGGGTGGGGATGCTGTAAAGCGCTTTGGGACAATGTAATTTTGTGATAATGTGCTATACAAAAATAAATTTGTTGGTTTGTTTGTTGTAGTAGTAGTTACATGTACTTATTCAGGTAAATGAATTGCTAAGAATAGTATTGTTGTCATATTACTGTTATTTGTCAAAGTAATTACTGAATCACTCATGTGACTAAACTGATTATGCATCTCTAGAAATGCAGTAAAAATTACTTCTGGACAAAACAGAACAAAGAACTGTCCCTCAGCAGGTAACATGCCTACTCCTGTAGAATAAGTGACCCTAACCATTAGAAAACAATGTTTTCAAGTTGTTCATCAGTTTTGTTTTCATTAGAGGTATGAGTGGTACTCCCAACTAGCCACAAGGATGGTGACCTATGGTAAATTATTCTTGGCATTCAGTTAGTTATGTCTGGTCATCAGCCACTGCTGTCTTTGTGCTTCTCACAAACCTGTCTTTCTGTTGCAGCTCCCATCTTCTCACCACCGTCCTGGGGACTCTTTGTGTTACATTAAAGGACCGCTTACCATCACCAAAACCACAAATGGTGGAAAGGAATAGGAAGAGTGTGACCAACCCCACTTTCTGACATGCCAGCCAACGCCAGGCAGACACCAGGCATACAGTTCAGATGGCACCCATGCATTAACACGTGAACAAGGCACTGCATCACAGCATGTCTCTTGGCCTTGAGACATTTTCCAGAAATGCAGTACAATAGAAGATGTTTTTCACTAACCCTAACCCTATGCGCTCAAAAACCATCGTAATTTGATCTGAGGCTGATTGAAACTGGGTGACTGACAGGAACTTTTCTAAAACTGAAGCCAGAAAATCCCCCCATGTGCCACACCCACAACTGGGCGGAAAGCCTGTGGCCTTGCCTGGCGCCAGCAGCCGGGAGAGGTACCCATGCTCACCAGGTGCAGGCTGTCGGCCTTCTGGGTCTGCCGCATCCTGCTCTTCTGTGCTGCTACCCGGTTCTTCTCCCTCCTCATGACCTTCTTCACATTGTCCATGGAGTCCTGGGCAGTGAAACAAAAGTCAGTAGATGCTTCCACAACCGATAGTGTCTAAAAAGACCCCAAAAGGTATTCATTAAAATGTCAGATTGTTAAGCTAAAGATGACATACACTATATGGACAAAAGTATTGGGACACACCTGTTAATCATTGAATTCAGGTGTTTCATTTAGACCCATTGCCACATGTGTTTAAAATCAAGCATATAGCCATGCAATGAGGTTTACAAACATTTGTGAAAGAATGGGTTGTCCTGAACAGCTCGATGAATTCAAGTGTGGTGCTGTCATAGGATGCCACCTTTGCAGTTTGTGAAATTTCTTCCCTGCTAGATATTCCACGGTAAAATGAAAGTGGTATTATTGCAAAGTGGAAGCATTTAGGAGCAACTGGAACCCAGCCACAAAGTGGCAGACCACATAAAGTAACAGAGCGGGGTCGTCAAGTGCTGATGCACATAGTACATAAAAGTCACCAACACTCTCTTGACTCAGTAACTGCAGATTTCCAAACATCCTCTGGCATAAACCCCAGCACAAAACCTGAAGTAGCTGCATGCAAGCCTCACTTCACCAAGCACAATGCGAAGCATTGGATGGAGTGATATAAAGTCGGCACTGGACTTTGGAGCAGTGGAACTGTGTTCTGTGAAATGAAGAATCACAGATTTCAGACTGATGGATGAGTCTGGGTTTGACAGATGCCAGGAGAACGTTACCTGCCTGGCTGCATTGTGCCAACTGTAAAGTTTGGTAATGGAGGGATAATGGTATGGGGTTGTCTTTCAGGGGTTGGGCTGGGCCCTTTAGTTCCAGTGAAAGGAACTCCTAATGCTTCAGGTTACCAACACATTTTGGACAATTCTATGCTTCCAACTTTGAGGGAACAGTTTGTGAAAGGCCCTTTTCTGTTCCAACATGACTGTGCCACAGTGCACAAAGCAAGATCCATAAATACATGATTGGGTGAGTTTGGTGTGAAAGCCCTAACCTCAACCCCATCAAACACCTTTGGGATGAACCAGAACGGAGATTGAGGGCCAGGCCTTAATGTCCAACATCAGTGCTTGACCTCATAAATGCTCATGGATGAATGGGCAAAAATTCTCACAGACACACTCCAAAAACTTGCGGAAAGCCTTCCCAAACTCCATATTGATGCCTATGGATTAAGAATGGGATGTCATAAAAGTTTCTGTAGGTGTAATGGCCAGATGCGCCAATACTTTTATACATATAGTGTATTTATGAATTCGTTAATATTGGCATTAGGTGCTTACTTCAAAATCATGAAAGTATGTAAAATACATCGTAACTGCACACATCTGTCAGTTGATTAAACCAGACACAGTAATAGACTAAATAAAGGCAAAATAGCCCAAAGAGAACCATAATGTATTACAGCCTGGAGGAAAGACCAACACTCGATACCGCCGCCAAAGGTTATTTCTAGAAAGCAGTGGCAGAAATAGAGCAGACCAGCTTTTTAGGAAGGATGTGGTTTTCTCCAGCTCCTGGCAATAGCGGCAAGCTCCAGCTACGGAGTCACTGTGCACATTTACAAGCACACAGGGCCTCCTCTGGCCATTTTCTGTTTCAGCGACTACAGCATGAGCCCCAAAGAGTATATCTAACACAGTCAGAATGTAGCTACAGCTTCCCTGCTACAGAAGCAAAGGAGTTTTCTCCATAGCTCTTGTGATAATCCCAGGTAAATTACTGGTGGACAAAGAGTGTCTTGCCTAAGTTATCAGCCTGGCAAATAGATCCACTCCCTCCACTGGCCCACCCCCCATACTGGCAGTCCTTCTGTACCATCCTCCCCCCACAGCCCTTAAAAGAGCAGTGCATGGGTGTCGCGGTGTGGGGGGGGGGGCACATTCACACCGGTCCTACCTGCTGGATGTCAGGAGAAGGCGAGCCGGTGTAACATGTGTCGTTGCTGTCTGAACCTTGCGCCATTGCTGGGAAGCACAGGACCGGTCCTCTCACCGCTTCTGCTCTGTGTGAACGTGTGTGTCAGTATGCTGAGTAACACTTGGACATGTTCCTAATGAGTAATGAGTTTCTGATTCTCTCTCACTCTCTCGCTTTCTGGCTCCTTTTCTGTTTGATGAGCTGCTGTCTCATTGCCAGTGTCTGCTGGGAAGTGACACCAAGCTAAAAGCCAAAAACTGCTCACAGATTCCTGCAAAAACATAACTGCTGTGTTTATTGTCACTTATTATTGTTGTTATCTGAAGTATTTGCAAAGCATTACATACATGTATTTTCTGTTATCTGTAGAGGACAAACTCTGTCTTACTGTATGCATGTATTTTACAAAGCCTACCTCTCAAAATTTTAAGAAACAGTATTAACTTAAACTATTATTTAATAGTATATTATATAATATTTACAACTAAACCAATATAAACAACAGCATAAACTGTCTCAATGTAATGAATCAAATAAATGGGGGACATTTCAAAATAACGATGGAACATGAAGAAAATGTATTAAAAGTGAAAAACTTTTATAAGGACTAAATGGACATAAATGTTATATGTAAAATTTGAATTAAAGAATAAAAGAACAGATTTTCATTTACTGCGTGATGAATAATGGGCATGGCGTTTAAATTTGAATATTGACTTCTTTTATGAATTGTATCCAGGCTCGTAAATGAACATGTTGTAAGATGACTAGGCTTGCTGGTTCAGCAAGCAGCAGCTCTCCCTACACCTCCCAGCTTTGAGCACCAGCCCTGCCCATTCTCCTTCCATGTCTATAAGGTATACAGTAGTACTGATAATACATTGATCCCCATGCGGAAATCCTTTTTGTATCATTTTGCTCTCCGTATAGGTGAGAGCAAGCTTGGGGGCCATAGCAAGGGAGCAGGGATTAAGGCACGTGTTCAAGGGCTGATTGACGTGATGATTCTGCCAAGGATAGGGCTCAAGCCAGTGACTTTCAGGCACAGAGGCTAACCCCGCTGAGGAAAGGGAATACAGCCCTAACTAGAGAATAGATTGATGGGTACTGTAAGACTGCCTGCCAAGGAAAATGCAGAAAATAATTACTGCTTTTCATGTCTTTCCCAGCTCCCTTTGCAACTCGAAAGAAAGTGTTTACCTTCAGCAGAATCAGTGACACTGACTGGTGATCGAAGTAGACTCTAGATATCTGGAAATGAGAGCAGAACCTCAGCTTTACTTCTCCTTTGAAGACAAAGACATGGCTCAGCCATGTTTCAACCTTGTCAGACAGGGAGGGGGAGGGTGTGGATGTGCGGGGGGGGCAAAGTCAGAAGATAAGTACACTTGTTCAGGTCACTGGTTCCTTGTTTGCGATCTTTATGTAGAACTGAGTTTATTTTCTCTTATGTAAACACACCCAGAGCCTGAAGCTAGGTCCTGTACACAGCTTTAGCCTCTGCGTTACCCAATGCCTATTTTCAGCTGTGACTGCCTATTTCTTCTTGTTTTCCCTCACTGATTTTGCTAAGCCTACCTGTACTCCTGCTCCTGAAAAAAGTCCCAGTTCTCCCCACCTGCCCCTTGTGTCGCGTAGCTCTGCCCAGTGTCCCGTTGAGGACACATTTCACAGGCCTGCTTGGCACCATCATACCCATATAGTTCTTTCATTTCACCTCCTGAGACACCTGCTTACAAGACAATTGATCTTGTAGTCAGGGACGGATTACGGACCGGGCCAGAGGGGCCGCTGCCCAGGGGCCCTTGGGGTGCAGGGGACCCATGGGGCCCCTAGCCCAAAACAATTTGCAACGCTTATCAACAATGTATTTTCGTTTGTCTATTTTAGAGGGCCTACATTCTTTGATCCTCTGCCTACAAGGGCCCCTGTCCCTATAGGGCCTCTGATGGAAACATGGAGGGAGGGCGTTTGGCTGCCAAGGGCCCTTGAATTGTGGTGGTTGTGGTGGTGATGCTGGTGGTGGTGGGGGGGGGGCCCTTGCAAACGTTTTGCCCAGGGGCCCACACAACCCATAATCCGTCCCTGCTTGTAGTCTATGTACATATAATGTGAATTTTTGTGAATTTACAGTTGCATAACCAGCAACATTTCAGCATTTGAGAAAACTGTACCTTATGCATATTATCGCCTGTTAATTTTTTAGTGTCATGGTCCCCCCCTTTAGTGCCACTTTAGCTTGTGCCGCATGTGGGAACTTGCTTAAGTGTATGGCCAGAATGTGACACCACACCCAGGACATCAGTATCACTTGTTTGCTAGCAATAAGGTAAGCAGATTAAAACTGTAGATCGTAACTGGGTGTGTATAAGTGCAATTACTGGGAGGCATGAGGCAATCGCAAGGCTGGATACAAAGCCTCAGTCGTAATACAGGAATGACTGGTTCTGTGTTTCTTGGATTACTACAACTGCATTACCACTAATGTGACATACTTCAGAAGTACATTTACAAAGCTAGAAAAAATTAAACCTTAAATCTGAATGACTTTGGAGATCAATTTGCGTCTAACGTAATTGTACTTAAATACGACAATCTTGTAATTTTATGAAATGCAAATCCATATCCATAGCTGCAAATGTATACCTGTGCCTGTCACCCAAGTTACACAAGTACAATTCTCATTTTACAATTACAAATCCTAATTTAAGAGTTTGCGATGTTCAGGTTTTTGATTATGAAGTTTATGAATGAGTTTAGTACTCCATTTACCAATCACTATGGAGAAAATTACATTTCCAGTGTCCAAAAAATCTCACTGTCCTCAAGTTCCGATGAGCCCTAATGAGCCATTATATGAATGTGCCTTACTGAATGAACTTAGGTCTATGTCATAAGAATATTATAGAGTAGTAAAAGATAATGGGTATGAAGCATGTAATTTAAGGTTATTTGTAACCACATATAAAGATAAAAATGAATCAGAAATGCTTGATATTAACACACCATTACAAGCTAAAATCAAATACACTTGTTTGTCTTTGAAATGTTTCTATGGAGACTATTACTGATACTGTCCCTTTCATAAGCTGTTTATCACTATTTTTTATTAATAACGTTATGTGAAACATTAGTTAGCCTAATCTATCCCATTAGGTGTGGTATGAAAGAAACTCAAACTTTAACATAGCCTATGCTTATATTTAACATGTTTCATACAATTATCTTTACTCCAGACACTATAGCAGGTCGCAGTTTTGGAACGATTTTTACAGATAATGATCGTTGTTTTGTTTTACCGAATGACGTGCAGCCTGCGCAGCCTCCCTCACAATGCTGCATGATCACACGTGTGCAACGGGAATTCCAGCTGCTGTCAGTAAAGTGCACGCCTGCAGTTCCCGAGTCATGCATCCTCTATCATGCTGATGCTAAATGCTCTAGCTCTCTCTCACACACACAGCAGACATTGTTAGTACACACACACATTCGAAATTAATTAAGAATGTACTTGGCCCACAGACATTTTCAACTGCCGTTTTTTTGTTAAGGTGACTATTTAGCTTCAAATTTTATTTTTAGCTCTTTAAAAAATTACTGAGGTCCAGACCTCAGTGACTTCATAGGTGGCTACAGCCCTGCCCTGGGTAACAAAATAAATTGGTTTCAATTATATGCCAACAAAGTGCACTGCTTCTGGTTTATGTTGACAATGATTTTAAGAAAGTGATTAGCAATTCTATGAATCGATTGCACTTATCAGCAACACACTGTCTAAAGTCCTCTTGTAAAATGAGAATCTGTTACGTCCTTCTGGCCTGCCTGCCCCTCCGCCTATGCCCCAGGAGGATGGGCTCCCCCTTTCTGGTTCCTTCCAAGGTTTCTTCCTTCTAGGGACAGGGATAATGTAAAGCACTTTGAGACCTTATACCACCATGCATACGCAGTGCAACGCATATCCTACACAAGCAGTGTACTGACTATACTTGGGCATGTAGTTAACATCTATCTAGAGGATTAAAGGTCATGACCACCAGGGGGCAGTGTGAGAAAACTATCTTGGTCTGCTCTTTCATTTCTGGTCTCACTTGTTGTGATATGAAATGTTGTACACTTGCTGCCTCAGCATGAACTAGCATATTTTGTAATACTGCTGCAGCATTCTCTGTATCCTAATCACTGATCCACATCAAGTTGGTACTTCACTTTGCCACATATCACTTTACTATTCCATGTTGAATGTTGCATTGTATATTGTTAGAGATTTCGTAGTAGTTAGTATTTTGAAATTTGGCTGTACAATACTGGAAAAATCCATTTGTGCAATAAGTATTGCAGTATTTATAAAGAAAAAATTAGTTCAAAATAAATCAAATTCTCAGAAACATGTCTAGTCGTGAGTGATTTAAATAGCAAGGATGAAAATGAATAGGAATGGTTTGGAGAGCACATGCAGAGCTCATGCAAAAGTAGAGATGGTAAACTTGAAACTAATGTTAAACATATATTAGATAATCCTGAAAAGGAGCAGCCATTAAAATTGCACAGCTTGCCAAGTTTTGTTTCCTATAACAATATAAATGTTCTAGCAAAATGTAAACCCCACGCTCTCTGTGAATTTCTAAATACTGGGACTGTATTGGGAAATAATGTTGCTTATGAAAGTAGGCAAATAAGAATTTCAAGTGAGAATTTCATTGTAATTTGTACACATGACACTGCTTTCTTACAAACTTAAACTTCCATTAAATTTTGAAGTCGCAGTACACAGTGGGACACAATAGTGCTCGCAATATTTTCTCTCATGCCTCAGAAAATACACAGTTCTTCCTCACTCTTAAAAAAAATCACATACTACTTTAATACTAACTGTACTCTATATAAACACCTAGTCCCTTAACAAAAGGTGACCATACTCCCACCCCAATTTTTGGTGGCACTACATCTCACACACGCCTTGCGTTAAGTCCTTGTGTAGGTGCATGGACGATGCGTGGAATCAACACAGAAAATGCATGGCGGCCACGATGCATACGCATACGCATCCCATGTAAGTGTCGATGTCATCATATACCTGCTGCAGGGAGCTTATTCCCCTCTGGATGGAACCAACAGCATGGAGAGAATCATCTTCTTTGATTCCTCAAGTGCTTTCAACACAATTCAACCTCTTCTCTCAAGGAGAAGCTTCTGTGGCTACAAGTCAACACATCCTCCATCTCCTGGATCACTTACTATCTGACAGACAGACTGCAGTTTGTGCAGCTGGGTAGCTGTGTTTCTGATCTAGCGAGGAGGAACACAGGAGCAGCACAAGGAACTGTTCTGGCTCAATTCCTGTTCACCTTGTACACCTCAGACTTTTAGTCGACTTGCAGAAGTTCTCTGATGACTCAGCAGTGGTGGAGTGTGTCAGAGAAAGGAAGGAGTTAGAGTATAGAGGTTTGGTGGGGAAGCTTGTGGCGTGGTGTGGGAGGAATCATCTGCACCTGAATGTGATCAAGACCTGGGAGGTGGAGGTTGACTTCTGGAGGAAGAAAATTGCTCCAAAACCTGTATACAGCATGGGTGAAGAGGTTGAGATCGTTTAAGATTACCAATACTTAGGTGTTAACTTTAATACCTCTGGACTGGAAAATCAACACCAATACTACTTACAAGAAAGGGATTAATAGACATTTTATTTTCTGAGGAAACTGAGATCCTTCAATCTTCTACAAATCTGGAGTGGCAAGTGCACAATTCTTTGCTGTACTATGCTCAGGGTGTTGTATTGGGGATAAAAGCTGAATTTGAGGTAATAACCTTAACAACATCATGAAAGTTGCAACTCACCCTCTTCATGACCTACTGCTGCACCACCGCAGCAGTTTCTAAACAGGCTTTTTTTTATCTCTGAGGTACAGGAGATAATTCTTACTGACAGCAGTCACACTCTATGATAGAGCGTACGTAGAGATCATTCTTACCGACAGCCATTACACTTTATAATAGAGCGTACGTAGAGATCATTCTTACCGATAGCCATCACCCTATATAACAGAGTGGTAGAGATCATTCTTACCGACAGCCATTACACTTTATAATAGAGCGTACGTAGAGATCATTCTTACCGATAGCCATCACCCTATATAACAGAGTGGTAGAGATCATTCTTACCGACAGCCATTACACTTTATAATAGAGCGTACGTAGAGATCATTCTTACCGATAGTCTTCACACTATATAATAGAGTGGTAGAGATCATTCTTACTGACAACCGTCACACGATAAAATAAAGCGGTACAGGAGATCATTCGTAATGACAGCCATCACACTCGATAATAGCTCAGCCCTGACTGTCCAATTGCCACACAATACAGTCATGCATTGCATAACTATGCTTTGGTCAATGACAGACCACATATACGACAGTGGTCCCATAAGATAATAATGGACCTGAAAAATTCCTGTTGCCTAGTAAAGTTGTAGCTGTTGTAATGTTGTAGCGTAACACTTTCTAGGTTTGTGTAAGTTTACTCTAAGATGTTTGTACAACAATTAAATCACCTACTGACGCATTTCTCAGAACATATCACTGTTGTTAAGCAACGCGTGACTGTACTGTTGTTTTGCTGTCAGCTACAGATGTAAAATTATTTATTAATTTACTGTGAAAAAACCCTTTTACATACTGTATTTCATTGTATTCATTAAGCAGTTCCATTTGCATATTTGTACAGTTTAAATGGCAGACTGCATATTGTAAATTCTTATTCTAAACTTGCACAACCTTTAACATTTACATCGCTGAATACTTGCTGCTCCAATTACTGCTACATATAGTATGGTTATTTCAAATACTTGAACTTATTTACCTGATTATTTATCTGATCTATTTCACTTGTATCCTGTTTTCTATCTATCTAATCTATCTATCTATCTATCTATCTAATAATAAAGATAGTATGGTATCTATCTATCATGTTGGTTTTATTATAACTTACATGAGATTAAACTGACAAATGTGACTAAGTAAATTCAGTTACAGTATTTTTAGCCACACAGTTACTGGGATTGACAAACTGAGAAAAGGGAAGAATCAAGCAATTGGTCAGTACTACAAGCCATTCCTCAGTGTGGGAAACAGGGTTCGTTATTTTGGTTTAGTTTTTCCAACAGTGACCTCTACTGGTGCTTGGAATAAGGAACTTTATTTTTGCCAGGGGAAAGGTGGGAGGAGGCATCCTTCTGAGGGAACATATGCTGCAGCGGTTTTCAAACTTTCTTAAACTACCAAATGAAAATATATCAGAACCAAGGACACCCTACAACTTATGCGTTATGAGTAACAAACGAGCGGGGCTCCCCCCCCCGTAATATTATTTGCTCCAGGGGAAGATTCGTCTTTGAATGTTTTTCACACTGGGGATTGTCAAGCATACGAACTACTATGCGGACCACAGGTTTATGACGTTTCCATCCGAGAAATTAATGTACTAGTCTATTATTTGGTGAGATTTTAATTCTCTAGTTTCATTGCGCACTCTGATTTTAAAAAATATATTGAGATCAAAAAGACATTTCCCCTCCTTTAAATGCATTAAAGATAAAGTGCCGCTATATTGCTTAGGCTGCACTGCAGCGTCTATTCACGAGTGCGAACCCAGTACTGACATGCGCGGTGACTTTGAACTGCTCCGTCCTCCGACCTGACCAGGTTCACCCCTTTAGATGCCCTGATAGCAATAAACTGTGTATGGATGTGGTGCCTAACTCCCGAACAGCATAGCCCACTATGGGACAGAGATCCTGAGCTCAAGTGACCCGCCAGCCTCATTACCTTGGACTACAGGTCGGAAAGTTCTGGCGCTTTGGAAGCACTTCAAGCTTGCATGACCGTGGCGTCACCAACCGTTTTTGTGACGTTTAAATTGGTTGCCACTAGATGGCATCAAATGCCAGACTGGCATGTTCGCAAGTTCAGCTGTAGCATCAGTTTGCCAAAGTGCAGCCGCCTAAAAACAGGTCAAGCGGTATTGACCAACCTCGAGCGTGCCAATGTTTTGCAATAATCGACTCAAGCTTCCCATTTGCAAACCACAGTCATCTCCACATATATTTCACCTTAGAAAATGATAAGCAGATTTACTGGATGCCATCAAGGCCAGTAGAAAATATTTAATAGACAACACAATGGAAGTCCTTTAGTATTTCACAATAGGTTGTGTATTGGTATGAAGACATACATATTACTAGTACAAAACTTAGGAAAAACCACTCTGCCAGGAATGGACACACAATACTAATCAGGAGAAAAAGCAACACATGCAGAATACAAAAGCTTATGTACAAGGTATCACATCTAGTGATTTCATATTTCATGAATATAGCAGTATATAAAAAATCCAAATACAAAGCAAATTAACACGTAACAAACATAGTAACAAAATCCATATGACTGTAAACAGAGATGTGCTCTTGTGATGCCCGCATCACCACAAAAAAAAAAAAAAAAAGGATTCGGATCAACCGATCGCTGCCACCCGCTGGGGCAGAACATAAAATCTAAAATCAGCATTTCTCAAATACTGTTATATTTAAATCCAGCCAGGATATATAGAAGCACAACAAAAGGATGATGTGCCTTTTCTTGGATACCTGTGGCAGACCGGACAGTTTGACTTTAGTGTCATTCAACAGTTCGCCATGGTCCCTTTCTGCTGCATTTCCTTCGTAACGACGATGGTGGTGCTAATCTCAGGATGCTACACGTCAACAGTGCCAGGAACCAGTCCCGCTACAAACAGGACAGGGAAACCTTGGCAAAGTAGGCATCCACTCCGCAGGTCTGTCCCTGCCGACAGAGCCCAGACTGACAGTGCTGCTCGCTCTGGCTGTAAATCGTCACATAATAGCAGTCGCTGCTTATTTGGCCCCCAGATGATCAAGCAGGGGGTTGGCCTCAGTCTCAGGGGTTTTGATGCTGTCGGTCCGCACGATGCAGGTTGGCCGGTGCCGGTTTAGCATGACAATGAGCTGCTGCCGCTCCTGCTTTAGCTCCTCAATCTGGGCCTTCAGCTCCGAGTTCACCAGCTCCAGGCGCTCTGACTCCTGGGAGGCAGAAAGGATGCTGTTAAGACTGCTGGGGGGGTGGCTGCACTAATCAGTCATTCAACCCATTAATATGGCCAACAGTGAGCTAGAGCAGCAATGGCAGCATGCTGTAATGGAGGAGTTAAGGTCTCTCTACACCTGTATAGAGGAAATCAATGCCCACTTGATCCTTTAATGTCCTACAAGCCTTGAACCAAAATTATCCAGGATTAAGAAAAGCATGATGATATCTGCTGCCTAACACCACCAACAGACAAGAGGCAAACGCTGCTGCTGACTGACTACAACCGGAAGGCTGGCATGTTCCAGGGGTTGCACGTCATGCTGAGCGACTTGCTCACCTTCTGCAGGAAGTCTGTCCGCTCTTTTTTCTTATTACGGCACCGTGCTGCCGCCACCTTGTTCTTCTCTCTCCGCCGCTTCCTCCTCTCCTCATCCTCATTCATCTGCCAGGGGAAGCAGAGTGTTTAGCCCCTACTGCCACGGTGTTCAGGTCAGCACAACAGTAAAAAATGAGAGCCGTTCAGCCCTCTGTTTGTAAATGAAAGCTATTAGTCGCTTGGCAGTCCCTCCTGGGTCTGAATCAGGCAATGTCCTTCAAACACTTAAGCTGTTTATGCAAGAAAAGCCAAATAAATATCACTGTCTGCAAATGAACAGATGTCACCAGTCATAAGCTGGTCACATGTGTCGTCACGGTAACCTGAGGTTATACACCCTCTGGCAGACCCCACCCCACTGATCCTCACCTCCTCTTTCAGGGGGGAAGGCCTCTTCCCCAGCCTGCTCAGGAAGTGTAGAGGAGAGATCATGGCCCCTAGGGTGTGCAGGTCGGCCAGCCGCAGCTGCTCTGTTAGCGTGGCCCCGGGGACCCCGGCCAGCGGCCCCAGGCTGGGGATGGCACCAGGGGCCAAGGAGGGGTCAGGGATCTGTCCGGGCATCATGTCTGACCTGGGTGGCGGCAGAGAATACAGATACGTTATTAAATTTACTTTCACCTGCTCAGGAGACCAAAAACAAATGCCTTAGTTTTTTACTTTAGGGTTTTTCCGCTATGTTTTCTTCAAGCAAACAACCTGCTTATGCGAGTAATTCAGCTAGACAGTGTATGCCACAGCCAGCACCGATGCCCCCCCCAGGGCAAGCTACAGCTGGGGCAGAAAGACCAAGATGACACCACAGAAGAGAAAGCGGGAGGCAGGAAGCTCAGCCTGGCCAAAGGCAAAGCGAATGTGTGCAGAGCGCCTTTGCCTTCAGAGAGGTACTGTCAGGCAGCAGAGCCCTGGAGACCAGCCTTTAGCAGAGGGACAACCTAGAGAGACCCACATGAAAAAAGGAAAACTGCAGAAATCCATTTTTAAAAAGCTAGTGGTACACTGAAGAGAGAGCAGAAACCGTCAAAAAGGCATTACGGGCAGGATCCGGCATCAGCCACCCGCCAAGGACACAGCCTGAGCGTCAAACAGGGTGTAACCTGAGACTGTCTGCTGGATACAGAGAATACAGTCAGTCAGTCTCCCTCATGAAGCATAAACAGACAGAACAGAGACAGGCAGAGATCCAGCCAAGAAGAAAGGGAGCGGCAGAGAGCCCCGGATGCTGAGCTCGCTGAAGGTGGCCAGGCTTCCTGCGACATACGGGTCCAAATGCAGCCTGCGCTGGTGCTGAGGGGCCCGCAGCAGAGCAGCTGATGGTCCGGATCACACAGGCTACATATCAGCCCCCCGTGGATGTTTGTTTGTGTGTGCATGGATGCTCATGCAAACACAGAAACACACACAGACACAAAGACCAATAAGCAAACTCAGGCACTGCACTGCTCCCTAAGCCCAGAGGGAACCTTCAGCACTGCTTGCTGAGCGAACATGAAGCTGCACTGCTCCCTAAGCCCAGAGGGAACCTTCAGCACTGCTTGCTGAGCGAACATGAAGCTGCACTGCTCCCTAAGGCCACAGGGTCACCTTTGCCACTGACATGCTGAGCAAACATGAAGCTACAAAGGCGGTAGCAGTCTAGAGGCCAAGGCCCCAGGCAGACAACAACCTGATGGCCAAAAAAGCTGCAGGACCCTGGATGAGAATGTGGTAGAAAGGTTCGGGGGGGTTAGAGCAGACAGACTGCAACCAATAAAATCTACAAAAAAAGACCAGAACAGAAAGGGAGGAATGGTGTGGAAAAGGCTGTCTCTTACTGCAGGAGCCCGACCTCATTATCCACACATTATCCTTGAGGAAAAAAAAATACCTGACTATAATTCTGGGATTTCACTCACAGGGTAAATGATGTTACCAGGGTAACGGATGCACTGTTTGCTCAGAGTTAGATGTTGCCCTCCCTACATTCACACCACTCAGCTGTGCTGGAATAACTTGCACCACACACGAAAGAGGCAATGGCTCCCAGCCAGTCCCTGCTTTGTTGCGGGGGACGAATCAATTCCATGTAACACAACCCACCTCCGTTTTCAAAACCAAGGCTGAAGTCACATGGGCTGCTTGCATCATACTTAAAAGGAATTCACAGACTCAGTCGTGTTAACTCCTCCATTAAAGCAAATGGAGCACAAAAGCTCACGTTGCTCAAACACCCAACATGTTTATAACAGGAAAATTCACCATTCACAGTCATTACACCCTTGTGAAAAGTTTTTTTTTTTCTTTCTGTCTAGTCTGAAGCAGTTTCCCCTTTATAAAGCCATCAGTATCAGCCGCAACGTAAAAAGCTTGAGCTGAGCACAGGGAGGGTTGGAGAGGCTTACAGGAAGGACAGCTCAGCGGCTCCATGTGGCTCGATGCGCAGCAGCAACTCCCAGCCAGTAACTCCCAGCCAGTAACTCCCAGCCAGTGTCTCGGAGCTGCTGAGAGGCTGAGACGTCACAAAGTGCATGTGCCGCCCACAAGCTTTCCACAGAAACAGGCCCTCACAGCCCCAAGTCCATTCCAGCAGCTTATTTTTATAACTTGACAAAACAAAATGGGACAAAAACAATGTTTTTCGTTTCTTTTTTCATTCCGTGGTAGAGGATGACAGTAAGTCTAATCTATTCCACCACAGTTTAACCATTGGAAAATCCATTTGTCTGGGCCTGTGACAAAATGCTCAGAAATGTATACCATTCTAGGGTTTTCAATTTTAATGTGATTATTCCTTTCAGAGTGGAAGCATCATGTAAAACACCACTCCCCACTGAAATTGGGTAACTCACCCTTCGCATTAATTCGCTAGATAATTGGCCTTTACAAACACATTCCACCCACTGCGATTCAAAGAGTCAAGAGTCATGTTTTACAGAATATTTAGACACTCAAATGTCCTGCAGACCTCCTGGCTACTATAAGAAGATTAAATAAAAAGGATCCAAAAAATACTGCAAGAATAAATCCTTCGGAAGAATTTTGGAATCATATCCCATTTCTGGGCACCAAGATGTAAAACCTTTGTAGAAAACATTAGCCAAGGAGTTGTTTTCCAGCAAAGTCAAGGTAATCCCCAGCAGCTTCCCAGACAGGCCGGGCCTTAACGGTCACAGCCTGAAATAAGATACATTTCAATGTTTCTTCATCGCCCCACAACAGAAACCGCAGACGGCTGCTCCACTTTCTGCATGGCTTCTGATTATCTGCCTCAGTGGGGGATGTTACACATTTTGGTATTTCCATAATATCAGATAGAGAAAGTCCAAGCAATGAGGAGGGGTGAATACTTCCTCACGAGATCCACTCCAAAGTTTCTCTAAATGAGCAAGATCATCTGGAAACAATACAAGAAAAAAAAACAGAAGGAAAAAGTAGTACTGTTACTTAACAGTGTTTATTACAATGTTGGGTTAGGTCTGCGCAATATTTTGGCCCTGCAAGTTATTTGCAACGCACAGAGCTCCTGTATAACAGGCCTGCTGCTCTGCTATGCGGCCATGTCAGGGGATCCCACCACACAGACAATCCCAGCCCCTGCAGCTCCAGCACAGGGCTGACAGAACCATGCAGTTACCACGACATCTGGTGGCAGCAGATCCACTCTGCTCGGTCTCCAGAGAGCTGGTCCACATCTCTGCAAGGCGTCTCTGCTTAAAATACACCTCCACCCCCCTCCCCCGCCACCCCCCAGTCAGCTCTTCATGACTGCTAGGCCTCCACTGCCTTTCCATTAATCTGCAGTGCCATCCCATCTATGTGGAAACTATGTTGTGATAGAATCAAGTCGGGGAAGGCGGCAACGCGTCCATTAATGCTGCTCATATCTACTTTCCCGCGGGTATTCGAGGGGCATTAGTGCAGACGTGGCAAATAATCACAGGCCATCAACAAGAAGAGGACCACAAAGAGAGCAAGTCACCAGCAACGGCACCCGATATGATACAATGATACGTGTTGTGTGAGGAGATGAGCATGCGTCGTGGACACTCACGTTTAGCATTAGCCATTAGCAATGGGGAGTCACTCCCACTGCACCTGTAATGCAGAGTAAAGGCTCTTTCCTTAAATACACCAACATCCATTCACTCTGCTGTTCACAACTTGATTGTGATCTCATAGATGTTATTTAGTTAATGCCTAGGTATGGTGACTGAGAATCAAAAATGACAACATATTTAAATTAACAATACAAACTAATTCCGGATCCCCACAGTGGTATAAAGGGCAGCAATTAGTCTACGTACCTAATCATAGAAAAAAAGCATGGGGCTTCATAGTTATTATACTAACTGAATCTAACTAAAATTGAGCTCGAGACAGATTTTGCTGATACAGTGATAATACTTTAAAATACTAATAACTTGTTACAGCCAATATGTGTGCATGCGTGTGTGTATGTGGAATAAATAAAACGTATTTTTTAATCTCCCAATTCATGAACTAAAACCAAAACCAGGGTTAATAGTACAGTTAAAAACTAAACAAAAATGCAGCTACGTTGCAGAAGGCTAACTGGACTGGGTCTAAATTTCTTTCCCGTATGCGCTTCCCTACCACACAAAAACTGCAGGGAAACGTAATTAGTAAATCAGTAAATATCCGAGGAAGCACAACGCTTGTGTGTATTGTGTGTGTGTAATTTTATATATATATATATATATATATATATATATATATATATATATATATATATATATATATATATATACACATACATATACATACATACATACATACACATATATATACACACACACACACACACACACACACACACATTATATACACATACATACATTGAAAATCTAAAATGTGTTTCACAGAATATCATTGCAGCCGGCGTTTCTATTATTCCTTCCATAGTATCGCCTTCATTTGTCCTTCCACATTAAGGTCACCACCGCATTCATTTCACAGTACTGGTTATTCCCTCCTGGGTAGTGAAGGAGCCAGGGGGCCGCTGGAAAGCCAAAGGAAAGCTGCGGCTCCTCTGTACGCCATGACCAGGGAAGGCGCTGCGCCGGGGCTGCCGCGGTGCCGCACGTCACCGGTGCCGGAACACGGCACCCGAGAACCGAGCACTACCACAGCGTGCATTCAGTCAGGATCGCCTTCATCAAAAGTACAAACCGGACGATCTGACCTAATCGCGGAAGTTCATTAAGAGATCGGCACAGAGCTTGAAGGTTCATGTCCCGGTTAACAGCACAGAAATCGCAAAGCCCACCACCCCCTCCGAGAAATCACTGAAACACTGATCCCCGAAACGTCCAGCCTTCCCCCTTTCATCCGAAATCCGTCACGGCCATTTGCCTGCGTTGCATCGGCTTCGTGTCTCGGTTGTATACACACTGTTGGAGTTTGGAAACTGACAGCATACGGCAGCCTGCCCGTGTGATTAGCGGTCAGCCAGCGCACAGGTGACGGACAACGCGAAGGCTAATAGAAAATGCAATATATCACACAGACAAGGAATAATAAAATCATGCAGACCCCTTAAAACCAATGCACAGATATAACCGAGAGACTATACATGCAACACTTGCACTCAGTCTCCTTTAGGACCCCCACAGCTTTATCGATTCATCGCATAGCTCCCGCAAAGAGTAAAAATGTCTTAAAAGTTGCTAAACTCCACACGCGCGACCCAGCGAACTAGCTAAACAAACCGTAAAAAGTTTTATTTTGCCTTGCATTTACCTGATTATGGCTGTAAATCAGACGTATAATTCCTCTTTTCAGGTCAGCTGAAGGTCGCCTGTAGATTTTGAGACTAAACCGCCGTTGCATCAGCCCGTTTTTATATACAGATTTCTAACTGGGAGGGTTTGGGAATGCGGAACTTTTTTTTCGCTAGACAGACGTAAGCAGGGATGTAAAAATACGGCCGAGCGTCTGTACAGAAACGAAGGGCGAAAAAAAGGTCTGTTTCGCTCCACCCCATAGCAACAAGAAAACACAACACAAGCCGCGGAGTCCCGCCTGCGGAAAGCTCGCTGGCAGCCTGGCCACGCGTGTGAAGCCGGCCGGCTTCAGTAAACGCGCACCGGGCGCATTTTAATGTATCTGACAGATAGCAAAGGCAATCGATTTACAGTGATTAACCACGAATAAAAACATAAACAACCCAAGAAAATAAGTCACATAATCCAAAGACGTCTAACTCCTTTAATGTTTATAGGTCCACGTTGCAAGGTTACCGTATGAATGGTGTATAAGTCGTACTTCACCTGTGCCGGGGTTGCGGGACATTCTCGTATTTTATTACCCAAAAGGTGTTTGCACGTGTTCCGCGGCGTATACAGAAAGACGTGGCTGTGCGGTAGTTTTAGCCCCACCAAGGAAACCTAGTCCTGGGTGTCTAAACAGAGATGCCACATCTGGTTGGATCTAGCTTCCATTCAAACGGTGCCCTATATATAGCATGTGAAAAGTTATCTGAGGATATAACATGATACTGCAGCCGGTCTGTAAATAACAAAACAGCAATAACTCCAGCTAGGCATATTTCTGTTGTTTCCTAGTGACCGCTGCTTGTGTCCCGTCTGCTGTTTTATTTATTTTGTTTTTGTTTGTTTATTGGAGAGGCCTTTAGGGATCTGTTTCCTACTTAACATGCATGTCTGTTTTTTGGAACCATATATGGTATATAATTTATTGTTTTGTATAGTGAACTATGACTCAGGTGCTTAGTTAGAAATTTGAGAATAACAACAACAATAACATAATAATAATAATAATTATTATTATTATTATTATTATTATTATTATTATCCGGAATGTAGGAGAAAGATTGATATTGGGAGGGACACGACGTAATAACTTAAATGTAATGATCTATTTTTTGTAAGGGGTGTGAATTGTTAATAGCCATATTTAGATAGATTTTTGTCAGGTGTCTGTATCTTTGTTTGATTTGAACTGTATAATGTATGTATGTATGTAGTCTGAAATCCACACAGGATAATCTATCAAGTTTCAGGATTCTTTGTGTTTGGTTAAGATATTATGGGCATTCATGCACTGTTAATGGTAATGTATTCATGAAGAAAGCAAAATAGTAATAATGTCAATGTCAGGTCAAGGAACTGAAAACACGTTTTATAAGTGTGAGGCCAAGACTAGTGTCAGTCCTGACTTTTTTATCACCATGACAAGACAAAGAATCAGTCGTGTATCCAGCTGTAGCTGCAAATGATATTATAGGTAACAAGACCCAGTATAATGTGGTATATAATCGTCGTGGGTCAGTGCTTGTCTCACTGAGAAAAAAATTCAATTGAATTGCAAATTATTTTTATATAGCACCTTTCACAACAGAGTCGCCCCAAGGCATTTTATTTCAGTGTGTTTTATATTCTCCAACATCATTTATACAGGGTATAGAAAAAGAATTCTTATATGCATTTGTATAATCAGTTCTCCTCCCCCTCCCAAACACAGCAGTGCAACTACACAGAGTCACCTGTGCTCATCTTATTTAATAATGTATGTTCCTGGTGTTAGGCTTGAAATAAACCTCAGTTTGCTGGCACATGGGAGACTTTCAGCTGCTCAGCAATAGGAATTTGAATGGGTCAGGAGGTAGCAAAGTCAGAAAGTAAGAATGTAGGTAAGAGGCGTGACTCTGCTGGTGTATCCTGAACTAAAAAGGAAAATGGAGAGAGAGAGAGAGAGAGAGAGAGGGAAAGAAGCCTTTTTGTCAAAAGAACACCTTTGATAAATGTTCTTTTTGCTATAGTTTAAATATTTATCCAAGTGATCTATCAAATATTGACAGTGGGGTGGCTCTAAGTGTCCCTGTGCTGTCGTAGATGTCAGCTTTTGAAAATCTTGACATGTTTTGCATTGTGCTCCTCATCAAGTTGTGACTGATACTGTAACATAGTGAACCAAGAACATATGAAACATAAACCAAATCAGTAGTTAAACCGAATCATATCTGGGAACATGGGACTTATGGGCAGGTGACATTCACACTTTACCCAGAATCCCCCACTGTATTATAATTGCTGGATTTGTTCCCACTAATCTTGAAGCTTTTCTGACTTCTGGGTGTGTCTGAGTGACCATTTCATTAGCCATGCAGAACAAATACAAGCAAATGTTCTATCCTTTGTCCCTCCCAAGATGTCTTGGGGACAAATTCCAAAATTAACAAATTCCAGAGTGGCTGTTATGGTGTAATGGACCGGCATCAAGACCGGCATCTTCTATCAAGGGTTTCAGCAAATTGGGTAGCTGGCAAAACCAAGCTAGAAGAAAAAAGAGAATAAAACAAGAACAGAATTCAGAAAGTCCATTTAGGGTCAGAGCTCAACTGTCAGTCAAATGTTAATTACGGGGAGCTTGGGTCATGAACAGGAGAACCAAGGACCGGGGTTCAAGGTAATGTCAGTCCCTCTCCTCCTTCCAGAAGCTGAAGACTATGTTTGTCTCCCCCCAGCTGTTCATTTACATTACAGAATGCTGTACTAACCTTTTTTACATTTCATTTCTTCATTTCCCTTAGCATTTTAAGTAGGGTCACAGAGTGCCTGAGGCCTATCCTGGAATGCACAGGGCATGAGGCAGAGCGGAACATATACAGGATGCATTGCAGGGAACATGCACCAGCATTTAGAGCATTTAGAGATGCCAAGCCACTAAAATTGCATGCTGTTGGACTGTGGGAG